AACTGTAACAACTACAGGGGGATTTCGCTACTATCTCACGTAGGCAAGGTCCCCACATCAAGATCATCACCAACCGTCTAAGCGCCTTCTGCGAAACCAACAACATCCTTCCGGAGGAACAGTGCGGATTTCCACCCGGGCGATCCACCGTCGACATGCTGTTCGTCGTGCGCCGCCTCCAGAAGCTGGGGCGGAGAAAGAAAATACCGCTCTACATGTGCTTCGTCGACCTGAAGAAGGCGTATGATTCGGTAGACCGAGAGATGCTATGGGCCAGGGCCGGGATTCCCGTGAAGCTGATCAAAGTCATCCGCCAATTCCACCATGGAATGCGGGCCCGGGTGCGCATGGACGACGGAGACCTATCGGACTAGTTCTTCGTCACACAGGGCGTGCGACAAGGATGTGTGCTGTCCCCACTACTGTTCAACATCTTCTTCGCCGAGGTCCTCGAGGTCGTCGTCATCCGATTCGGCGAGGATGATATTGTTCTGCGGAACCTGGTGTGCTTGGAGGATGGGAAGACGGAAGCGGGGGAGGAGACACCCCCTGACCGAGTACGGAGGGCAGTATGGGGGATGCTGTATGCCGATGATGCCGGCGTCGTATCGAGGTCTGCAGAAGGCCTGGCGAGAATGATGACCATCATCGTTGAGGTGTTCGGGGAGTTCGAGCTGACGGTATCGGAGAAGAAGACGGAGACGCTCCTGATGCGCGCGAAGGACAAGCCGACTACAACACCACTGCCCCCCCCGCCTCCACCACTGACCATCGAAGCCACGGGACAGAAATACGCCCAGACGACCGAGTTCCGGTACCTCGGTGGCCTCGTCAACGAACATGGCGACCTCATCCGGGAGATCAACTACAGGAGCAGAGGAGCGTGGGCGCGCCTCAGGCGATATGGCCGGGAGCTCTTCGGCAGACCGAAAGCGCCATTCCGACTCAAGATCCGCCTGCTCCAGGCGGAGGCGATGGAGGCACTGCTGCACGGCTGCATGACATGGTCACCACTCAACGGCCACTACCAGACGCTGCGGGCGATACACCACCGACTGCTCCTTCGAGTTATCGGGTACAAGCGCAAGAAAGACATCTACCGGCAGCTTTCCTACGCCCAGACGCTGAAGAGGGTCGGATGCCAGAGCGTTGAAGCCACGATCCGACAACGACGCTAATGTTCGCGGGAGCACTGGCAAGGCAGCCGGACGGGCGACTCCCGAAACGACTGATGCTCGGCGAACTGGCGGGGGGGGAGAAGCGCCGTCGGGGGGGACAGGAACAGAACTGGCCGAAGTGTGCGCTCGACGACCTGAAGGCATTCGGGGCCGACCACGGATCTACGAAAACCGATCCATGTTTTCTCGGAATCCCGGTACCGAAAGACACGGCACCGAAGTTAGAGTGGACGGAAGCCGCGAAGGTGGAGGGGAGAGTACCCTGGCATGCGGCGGTGCTGCAGGGAGCTGAGAGGTTCATGACCTCCTGGCACGAGAAGGCAGAAGAGGCCGGCAGACAACGAGCGCTCAAACGAGACCACAAGCCAACAACCAATGGGGCGGGAGGGGGGCAGCAGACGGACGAGACGGCGAGGGAAGAAAACAAACGAGAAGGGACGGACCGATTGGCGCGATACGTGCCGGATTGAATTTCTTTTAGCCAACCCCCCTCGCCCCCCCCGGTGTTTGCCATCGGGGTTTGGGTTTTCGTCGCTTGGCAACGACGTTGTAAAAGAAGCCAATTCACTTCGTGAATTCGGCAACCAGGTTACCGTTTTTTTTTTTACCTCGTTTTTTTTTTTTTTGGCGGTAACCACAATGGTGGTCGAGTAGATCACGTTGTGCGGGGTCGAGAAACCTCACTCCGCGCAACGGGGGATGATCGCACCACGTTGTGTTAAAATGGTCAAGCTTCCTCGAGGCAGTTACACAGTGCTTACAACTGTCTCTGGAAGTGAAAGCACCAGAAAATAAATTAAGTCATACGTAGCTGTCATCCGTACGCAAGGAAGTAAGCACAAGATGCCGAACACCCTTAGCAGGATGCAGCTCACCCTTCATGCGACTCGCCAAATACCTCACGGCGCTTCGCGCTTGGTGATGTGAGAGCCTGGTCCGGTGAGAACCCGGCGTGCTCCGTCCCGGCTTTGTAGGGATGCGAGGTCAATGGTCAAACGACTACGGCATGCACGACTATGAGTACACCCCCCCCCCCCAACGCTGCACCATTGCACCAACCCCCCACGAGAGATGACGTACCATTATAATGTGTCGCTGGTTGGTGGCCATGTTTGCGTGTTTGCTTGTTCGTAAGTGGCCTCTCCACCGTGTGCCTTTTTCTGTATCTCGTTTCTTGTTCCTTTCGTCCTGGTCCCTTTTTGTCCTCGCTCTTTTCCTTTTTCTTTCTCTCTTTCCTTCCTGTTTTCCTTTTTATTGTTCTCTTTTTCTCATTTTCTTCGTTTTTCTGTGTCAGATGGCCTTGTCTCTTCTTGCGTTGTGAAGTACCAAGATTGAACCATGGGGGTGTACCTCTTTCTCTCTGGCCCGTGATGATGACTCCTAGCCTCTGTTGTTACCTCGCTTAGCGCGCAGAGGGAGCGGAGGACTCCACAATATCTGTCGTTGATTTCTATTGACTTGCGGACCCCTGGGGCCAGTTTTTTTGAGTGTATATTTTTAGGGTAAGTTAGCCTGTGACCACGGAAATCGACCGCGTCAAGTGTTGGATCAGTACGGACATATGAAGGTGCTGGGTAGAGAGAGATCAGAACGGTTTTTAATGTGAAGACAACAACAACAACAACCAACGGCGAGCCCCTGGTTGGAAGATCTACGCCCACGAATGAGCGATATTCACTTCCATGGAACTAAAGATATGAAATGTGGATGTGACATTTCCATGGAAGTGAACTTCCTCGGAAACGAACTTCCACGTCCCATGGAAATCCTATACAAGTTGCATAGCTTCAATGGAAGTCGAACCTTCGGCTTGCATGGAAGCTATTCAAAACAGTTTAGGGCAGCTTCCATGGAAGTACTCAGCCTCGGGTTAGCTTCCACGCTTTTATCGGGGTTACGGTTAGGGTCAGGGTTAGGGTAGGGCAGCTGAAATGGCCACATGTATGTCCAGACGCTTCCGTGGTGTTGGTTCGGGTTCGGGTTCGGGTTCGGGTTCGGGTTCGGGTTGGGGCAGAGAAACTGGAATGACCACATGCGTGTCCAGACGCTTCCGTGGAACTTACTTTCATGGAAGTTTCGGTGCTAGCACGGAAGTCGGTTTCGACCTCTGTCACCCGCTTCCATGGAAGAAGTTTTCGTGCTTCCACGGAAGTAGCAGAGACTCTGTCGAGCGACGAGCTTCCATGGAAGTACTACTACTTCCATGGAAGCTCGTCGCGCTGCCGTGCAAGTCCGAAATGCGACTTCCATGGAAGCAACGAGCAGTTGATGTTGGGTGCCTCCATGAAAGCGGATCAACTTCCATGGAAGCGGATTAAATTTCATGGAAGTTGTTACCGCTTCAGATTCCATGGAAGTTAAATTGACCTCCATGGAAGTCATCAAAATTCCATGAAGCCATCTACATTCCATGGAAGTCGATACACATTGCTTTTCCGCACCGGTATCTGTGTTAACGCACGCACCCGGTGCGATATCAACGATATAAAGCCCGCTTGTAGGACGTAAAATTTGCGTGCTTCCGCAAGGTGCCGGAACCCTCCGAATCACGTGTCAAACTGTATGCAACGAACCGCCGGGGCGCTATTCCCTTCAGGTGTGTATATCGTGCCATCGAGGTGCACGGTAGAAATGATAACTGTTTTTTCTACGGTAATCCGTACATCGGACGCACTCACTCACTCAACTAAGCACACAGAACACATCCCGCACCGCCAACCAACCGAACAAGGAGTTCGTAAACGGTACCATGCCCCTTGAGGCAGACAAAGACAGATGGAAGATGGAAGCTCTAGCCAACAAATAAATGAGGGGCTTGCGAAAGGAAGAAAAACAATACGGTACCGTATACCTTTCCCGGCAGGGAACCACAATGTCTGTTATCTTTGCCGTATGCTACCCCAAACTCGCATCAGCCGCGCTTCATTTAACCTGTAGCAACACCCACAATTGCGGTACTCGTACCAGGGCAACGCCTGTGTTCGTTTTTTGACAATCGCACCTATCGCTGTCATCGCACAGCGGTGCGTTCACTCAGCACCGTAAATGGCCAGTGTGGTTTCTTCCGTATCGCACCCATCGGTGTCATCGCACCGGGTGTGCGTTGGAAATGCGGAACGACATTATTTAATTGCATTTCCGCACCGGTATCGGTGTTATGGCACCCATCGGTGTTCGACAAAAAACCAAGATAGGAATGATTTAAAAAACGATCGCACCCCGGTGTCATAACAAGCACAATTGCGGTATGCGAACCAACCATTTCGACGAACACCTACTGTACATTTTTTTTTCCCGAGGTTTGGTAGGTTGTGCCCAACCTTCATGCTGCGGTAAAACATCTCATCAATTTTCATACCCACGCTGCCGTCAACGGTGCCATAGACTATACTGCAGCGCTCGACTACAAATACCACCAACGCTCGCCACCACCCCACATCCACCTCGACCACCGTAACTTGATACAATTTGAAGCAACTACTCATAGGTCGATTCCTCCGGGTGGCCGTCCCACCATTGCGCGCAGCCAGTTCACCCTAGTATACATACGTGTAGGCGCGCGTGCAGAGTGATGAATGTGCACAAACGGGCTGTCACAATCGCCTGACAAACTATGAGAGACACTTCACTCTGATCGTGCTGTGAGGAACCACGAAAGGCACCTCCAGAATCAAGCCTATTAATGATGGCCGAAAAAACCCACCGCATTGGATTTGCGGATTGTCAACCTTCGCCAGCAACCCTCGACCGTCTTGTTTTCCCCCAGGTTGCATAGAACACAAGTTCTATACAGCTATCAGGACGTCGATGCGTACGCATGGCAATGTTGCCGTAGATGAGCGGCTACATAGCCTAGACAAGTATCGCTAGCAGATGCACACTCCAACGGACAGAAGTTGTTGAGGATCAAAACACCGTTTATTGAAACGACATTCATTCGCCAACAACAACAGTCTTCCGTATCTATGCCCGACGCCAGTCCCGTCATGTAGTTACCAATACAGCTTTACCATCCTCGAACAATGTTTGCGATTCGTTGTCCCTTGCCGCCATCCCAACTAAATAAGTCGACAAGTGGCAGCAACAGGTACCAATGATACCAACAACTTTCCGAAAGGTGCTTAATTTATTTCACCGAGCAAAGCCAAGAGCTCCGGTTACTGCTGAAGTCGTGGTGGCTACAGAATATCGCAGAGGGCATGGCCACCACAATTTTCGGCGATCATTTGCTATCCCGACTTGGATGCAACCGATCGATCTCTTCCACTTGTCCGTCTGAGAGAGCGGGTACCCAGACGTCACACCGTTTTAAACCATCGCGACAAGAACGGCAACAAACCCGAGTGCAACTGTCGAGACAGCTCTCAAATAGCTGATGGCGAGTGGGACGGCGGGACCAGCACCGCTACCGGCGGCCCCAGCACCGATGACGCCCGAGCAGGTGATCTCGTCAAATGAGCAATCCGCTAGCACACACTGGATAAGCTCAACGTACTCATCCATGGCCATGCAGTCGTTCTCGGAGGCAGAGGAGAGGCAACAGTACACCGCAAGCATATACTCGCACTGGTCGAAGTCTGTGATGTCGACGGTTGTGGTGAACGTTTCCTGTATGCACTCGCTGTACTCGACTGCGTTCTCATCGTTAAAACCGTCGGCGCTGAGACACTCTGAGCACTCTTCGTCGTAAATGCAAGAAGTGCAGTCACCAGTTGATGAATACAAGGCGTCAATGCCGCTCGTTACTGTAGTGGTATCTTCCGAGCTGGGGCCGCTCCCTACCGTCGCGAGCTCGGTGGCGGGAGACGGGGTGATGTCCACATCCCGGGCGCTCGAGGTAGGAGCCGGCGTAGGGTCGGAGGTCGACGCCGGCGGGGTGACAGCAGAAGTGGAGGGTGCAGGCGTGTCGACGGCGACAACCAAAGGGGTAGGCGCAGGCGCAGGAACGGGACTCTCGGTGGGGGCAATTATGGGGCCAGGCGTTGGTAAGGCCATAGGCGCGGGCGTTTCCGAGGCCACAGAGGCAGGCGTTGGCAAGGCCACAGGGGCAGGCGTTTCCGAGGCCGCTGCAGAAGAGGCCACCGTGGAATCACCCACTGCAATTTCCACCTGCACAGAGACAGAGGGCGGGACAAAAAATGGGGCGGTGAGTTTCCGACCGCGTTTTATTCGCAACACAGCGATACGTGTGTGGGAGGTTGGGCTGGTCGAATAGAGCAGTATCGGAATGGAAACACCGCGGTGATTTCTTCGCTGCATGGACCTGATTCGCCCGGCAATTTCCACCTAGAAATCAGATGGACCTGCGAGGATGACATTGAAAGGTGCAGCCGTTCGGGCTGCAGTGGTTCTGATGTCGAAGATCTTTGCAGCGTTGCACGGATCAGTTGATAGCGCTCTCTGCATGCAAGCAAGCAATACCTCGATGATACTGAGGAACTCGTCGGCGGTGAGCCCGGAGGACTCCATCCCCAGCGACAGCACTCCGGGCGCTCCCGCCCCGCCGTCGAGTTCAAAGGTCTCGAGCCCGGACGTGGTACCACCCGACGTCACCACTTCGAAGAGCTCGCCGTTCACGTTGATGTTGAGCGTACGGGTCCTGGTGTCCCCCTTCAAGAACGCCACCGACACGCTCGTAACGAGCTGGGCCTCACCTAGCTCGAACATGACCTGGCACTCCTCGCCAGCGGCACCACCAGCGGCCTCTACGAGGCCCGCGGAGCAGGACCAACGGGAGTTGTCCGTCAGGTCGCCGTCGCGTGTGTTCTCCCCCGTGCACCCGTCCGGGGCGCACCCGTCGTCGTCGGTCCTGGCGTCGAACGCGTTGGTGGTGACGGTGACGGTCGTCACCTCGCCAGCTTCAACGGCCGTGGGGGCAGTCGGAGCCGCGGCTTCGGGAGTGGCCGTAGGCGCGGGAACAGGCGCTGCGACCTTAACAGACAAGAGGCAACGGTAACGGCGCACTGCTGTTCAATATGGTGACGAACCTTTTTTCCCGAGGTGCCCCCCCCTCCGGTCCCGAATCTGAGACTACCTGCCGCTGTCGTCACCCCCCACCTTCCTGAGTTCTGTCGCCGTGTTTTCGGGGCTCCTTTCTTATTTGTATGCGCATTGGTACACCACAAAGGCGGTTCTTGTAAGTAATACCACGTCGGAACCGAGCACCTGTTCTTATGGCCAAGCTCTTAGATTGTTTTTTTGAGGCTCAAGTTCTAAACTGCTAAGTTCCTTATTGCCAGCGCGTTTCTGAAGCATCGAAATTACCTACGTCGACGTCAAATAATCAAGCTAGGTACAGGAACGCTGCCTGTGTTCGAAAGGCTTTTACTCACGGGCCCAGGTGTTCCCGCCGCGATGGGATCAGGCACTGCTGCGTCGGCTGCCGTAGGGGGTTCGGTAGCCGGGACGGTGCTGTCTGATGTCATGGAAGAAGTGACCACAAATACCGTAGGGGGTTCGGTAGCCGGGACCGTGCTGTCCGTTGTCTTGGAAGAAGTGGTCAGGGTATCTGGAAAAAAATACACGGGTTCCGCACGAAACAGGCGGACGTTGTTGGGTGGGTTGCTGCATTGAAAGTGCGCAGCTCGTCTTCCGGTTCATCAATCCCGTCGGCTTCGGTACGTTGTGAACAATAACATGACTTCATGACTTCTCAGCATGTACAAGGTGTCCCTTCGGGACTGGGTGTCAACCTCCCGTGGGTGACGCAAGACCACATGCATGCGCATTGCCCGACGAAGGGGCTGTGTCTTCTTTTCGATGGGCAGTTTCTAACGTTCGTATTCCGTACAAAATATCGCGCACGTATTCTACGCTGGAACCAGCTCGAGGGAACAACAACTTGCCAGCGAAAAACCAGACTTCTTCTATGATATCATATATTCAACAGGACGGGCGAATGCGCTAAGATTATCTACAGCAGCAGCGTTTCACTTGGCCTGCTGCGAAGTGCCAAAGAGCAAACGTTGGTACTTCTGGACATTTCTATGACACGAAGAGTGACAGAGATGTGGAGATGAACAAGCAAGGGGGAAAATGTTTCAAACTGCCGATTTTCATGGGTTTCAGAATTGGTTCGCCACGCATTATTGTCTGCGCGGAACGCGCGGCCCCGGGTTTTAGAGCCAGTTGTCGCAACTTTGACCGGCAACCACACGCGGCACGGAAGCCTGCCGAGCCACGGGCAAATCTTACATGTACATGTGCTCAAGGTATGTTTCAATGGTCGCAAGTACATGCGTCATCAACAACACCTCCAAATTGGCGCTAAATGTTCATCCATGTGGAGTTGAAAAGGGACCTACCGGCCGCGACGGTTGGGGCCGGTGTACCCCCAGTGTAAGTGACGTCGCCGGAAGTAACGGGAACCCCGAGGAGCTCTGAGCAATCTTCTGCATTCGGATACGAGATGTCGCAGGAGAACATCCAACACGACCACCAGTACGCCACGAACGCCTCGTTTGCGAGGCAGTCAGTCTCCAACGCCTGGTTCTGGCAGCAAGAATACTGCAGATTTGCGGCGCAATAGGAGTTTCCGTCGGCATTGCAGTCCTCAAACTCGGGGTTGAACGTGTCGCCCACGAGCATGCACTCGTTGCACACGGCGTCTGCCTCGCACGTCGCTGTCTCCTCCGAGCAGGCCGCTACGTGCAGCTCCAGTGGCATGAACACTGTAAGGATGGTGAACGTGGCGAGGAGCCACACGACAACAGAGCCGCCCCTGGACGCCATCTTTCGTCCTCCTCGCTGCTGGTGAAAGCCGGTGCTGTCCTTCTTTCCTCCCTTCAAGTTTGCTGTAGTCATTCGGAATTTCGTGCGCAGAGGGATGCCAATTCAGGTGCGTGCATTGCATCATCATCTCATCTCCACTTGACATCGGACTGCTACGCTGAATGCATGGTGCATGTATTTCCCCAGAGATCAATAATTCCATTTTCCAGGTTCACACACCCGTCAACGAACTCGCTCGATCGCGGTATATAGCGCTCGATCGCGGTATATAGCGCTCGATCGCGGTATATAGCGCTCGATCGCGGTATATAGGCCTCTTCAATAATAAATATGGCTTGATCAGCCCCCGCCCACTCTTCATGGAAAGAGTACGCTACGCATGAAAGAGCTTCGATTTCCCGTACAGCACGTGGCCCAACTCTCTCGAGCAATATCTTTGACATCTTCACCCAAGAGTAACTGGAGCCAGTTGGAGCAGTCGCGCAGATCTTGCTTGTGATGGTGGGATCCGCAAGTTGTACAGAGTTTCGGCTTATTCTGTCGAATACACATTCTTTGAACAAGGGTTTTTGCGCGTCCTACGTGAAGGTTCATTTCGATGCCAGGTGGGCATGGCACGGATTTGGGTTTGGGCTACGAGAGAAGGCTTTCAAACAATTTCGGCAAAGTGCGAAATCTGGCTTGTTAGCTAAGGTGAAGGGCTAGGCTGCACAGAGGTCCAGCCTGCTCATAAGGAACATAGTCTATTCACAAGACATCGGGATTCGTTTTTGGCGAAAAAAGCAGTCATGCAATTGTTAGTATACCCTTGTAAGTGTGTTGAAGATGATGGTATCACTTGTATTTAGGACAGCAGACACGATCAGGACGCGGCGGGAGAGAGAGAGTGCCACGACACAGCAAGCACTCCCGCAGGGTCGAGCCCCGTGGATCAATCATGAAACCAACCCAGGGGACTATCAATTCCTATCTGCGTAGCCAACTCCTACAGTCCCGTTGGAATATTCTCATCCGCTCATGCACACACGAACACCCTCCCTGGTTCTTTACGCTAGTAACTAACCACTAGTGGGCATGCACACGCCGGATGTGACGAAAACCCAAACGGACAAAAAAACCAACGCGAAAAAATAACAGGGGGAAACCCGGCCTCCGGGTCAAAACCCCCACCAATATTCACCGTTCCACCAGATACTGTCACTGTTGCGCTACCAGAGCAAGATCAATACATGCATAATACCAGTCGCGCCAGAATCCACGCTCGGAATCTTTATCTACAAACGTGGGCGGCGTGCTATCATATTCTTCCTGCATGAAGTACCAAGATCATAACCCTGTTACCAACAACGGCCTATCCCAATTCTTGGTAAGCAATAGCGTAAGACTATCCTGAGGAGTTGGTTCAAGCAACTACCATGCGGGTGCACTACTATCTGTTCTTCAAACAAACATCAGACAAACATTGAAAACGCCCCCCCTCGCTGACGTAACACAGCGCACCGGGGCAAAAGGCAATCATCCAACATTTTCTGAGCGACACACAACCGGCATGCATTTTTCGACAATCCTCTGTTCTCGTCGACGTACAACACTGGTGTCCCAATTTTTCCTCATACGTTCCTTCAGCGGTTCCAACAGTATCCCATATTCCTGCACATTTCGCGACCTGGAGAACGGCCCGACGTGGCCGCAATCAAGAATTTTCAACCAAATGACTACCAGGAAAATGCTGAACATGTGGACGCGAACGCCTCCGAGAAACACGGAACACCCTCCCTGGCTCTCAACCAAAGTGCACTCATGACAACTAACAAGGATTACCAACTTCGCTACGAATACCATCAAACACCAAGTACCGTCAAGAAAGAAGTGCCAATCCAGCACTGTGATGCGTGTTGCTCCCCTCCCAGCGCTCGTCCCGGCCTGTAGCCTCGCCAGAAAAAGGAGTTCCCGTTTTAGCACCACGATGCAAGTACCCTCCCCTCCACGCCCCTTCCGACGTGCCGCGGGGTTCCCCCTCACGCCCTTTCCGGCGCGCCACGGGGCTGCTTCGGTTTTCTCCCCCCCTCACGCCCCGTCCGACGCGCCATGGGGCCTTAGATATATATTTTTTTTTTTGGTTGTTGCCCCCCCACGCCCCTCCCGTCGCGGCTGCGAGCACACGGCCCTCCCGCCGTGTTATTTGGTTGTTGCCCTCCCGCGCCCCTTCCGTCGCGGCTGCGGGCACACGGCCCTCCCGCCGTGTTCTTTGGTTGTTGCCCTCCCGCGCCCCTCCCGTCGCGGCTGCGGGCACACGGCCCTCCCGCCGTGTTATTTGGTTGTTGCCCTCCCGCGCCCCTTCCGTCGCGGCTGCGGGCACACGGCCCTCCCGCCGTGTTATTTGGTTGTTGCCCTCCCGCGCCCCTCCCGTCGCGGCTGCGGGCACACGGCCCTCCCGCCGTGTTATTTGATTGTTGCCCTCCCGCGCCCCTTCCGTCGCGGCTGCGGGCACACGGCCCTCCCGCCGTGTTATTTGGTTGTTGCCCTCCCGCGCCCCTCCCGTCGCGGCTGCGGGCACACGGCCCTCCCGCCGTGTTATTTGGTTGTTGCCCTCCCACGCCCCTTCCGTCGCGGCTGCGGGCACACGGCCCTCCCGCCGTGTTATTTGGTTGTTGCCCTCCCGCGCCCCTTCCGTCGCGGCTGCGGGCACACGGCCCTCCCGCCGTGTTATTTTTTTTCTGTGTCTCCACCTTTCCACGCTGCTGCGATGGTGTAGATGGAGCGTGCGCGGTGACCCGCGCGGCTTTGGCGTCTTTCCCCCGCCTGTCCTTACAACGCCTCACGTGCCACATCCAGCTCCTCGTCATCGCTCGCCACCACAACCGCCATGACTGCGGTCTCGCCCTTCGCCTCCTCCTCACCCTTCGCTGACGGGCACTTGCTCTTATCGTGTCCATACCCGTCGCAGACTTCGCACTGGGTCAAGAAGTTGGTGATGGGGGTAGTGCACGAGGCCGACTGGTGCCCTCGCCTGTTGCACCGGTAGGACCGGCCCCTGCGGCGGCCGCCGTCACTGCGACCGTCTCCACCGCCGTTGCCGTTGCCGTTGCGTCCCCCACGGCCGCGGTTGCGACCCGCTTTTCCACCGCAGCCATTGTTGGTGCTCACGAGTAATCCCTGCTCAGACGCCTTGTGATTGTTACGGTTGCCGTACCGATGGTTCTTCCCCTGCCTGATGCTGGAGTGCTGGGAGCCCACCACTCTGATGACCTCTCCCCGGTCCAGGGTCGGGGCGGACTGCAGAGTCAGTTTAGCATGGTCGTACTCGGCTGGTAAGGCCGAAAGGAAGAGCGACAGCACGTACGGGGCCTCGACTTTGACCCCCCTCTCGTTCAGACGACTTGCGAGTTGCTCCATGGCGATAAGCGATTCAGTAGGGTTTTTGTCGGACGGCATTGCGAAGTTCTGAAACTTGCTGAGCAACTCCTGCGTGGCGACCTGCGATTCCGGGTTGTGCACCTTGTCTAGTTCGTCCAACGCCTGCTTCGGCGTCACACATCTCCCGAAGACGGCCTTGTCTGGCTCCCTCACCAGGGCCGAGGACAGAAAATGAAAAGCTTGGAGGCTGCGGTGTATTTGTGCCTCGGAGTACCCCTCTGCCAGCAGCGTAGCTTTGGGTTTATTCATGTCCCCGACGTCCGGCTGGCGTTCCGTGCCCCCTACGAACTGACCGTCCATGTCTACCGTTTTTGCAGCCTGGATAAAGGCCCTCCTCCACGAGTAGTATCCCTGGCCGCCTTCGAGGCGCGGCGCGTGCACTGACACACGCATTTTGCTATACGGGTTCTGGTGAAAACCGTCTCCTTCTCCGACGAGTCCGCCAAAACCGCCAATACCACCGCCATATGTCTCGGTTGTCTCACCTTGGGGGAGCGGTCCCCTGTCACGCCCGCCACCCGGCCCAACCGCCGGGTCTGAGGGCGGCGTGATTCCCTCGTTCTGCGGTGCCCCCTCCTGGGCACCGCCGGTGGACGTAGTGCCCGTGACGACAGCGCCCACCCCAGCGCCGCCGGACTCCCCCTCCTTGTCTAACTTTCCGAGGGCGGCTCGGAGCAGCCCTGCCAGCTGCTGTACCTCGTCCGTCAGGCCTGAAACTTTGCTCTCCAGGTTGTCAACCCTGCCCTGCGTACTAGTGGTGACGTCGGCAGCCTCTGCTGCAACATCGGCGCCACTCATCTCCAGCACGGGTTCCCTCGAGGGATACACCTCTAGAGTGTTAGTATACCCTTGTAAGTGTGTTGAAGATGATGGTATCACTTGTATTTAGGACAGCAGACACGATCAGGACGCGGCGGGAGAGAGAGAGTGCCACGACACAGCAAGCACTCCCGCAGGGTCGAGCCCCGTGGATCAATCATGAAACCAACCCAGGGGACTATCAATTCCTATCTGCGTAGCCAACTCCTACAGTCCCGTTGGAATATTCTCATCCGCTCATGCACACACGAACAGCAATACGGCAGGGAACTATCCTCAACGTACGCATATGTTACGGGGAGAAAAGTCCCTTTGGGTTTCAACGTTTCCTCCACGTTATTTTCTGATTCAGTGTATGCTTGGTACTAATGTAGGCAGGCAAGAAGGCTTGTAGACACAGCACGTGTAGTTTTTCACGTTATTTTCTGATTCAGTGTATGCTTTGTACTAATGTAGGCAGGCAAGGAGGCTTCTAGACACAGCACATGTAGTTTTTCCCCCGTTGGTTTTTGGAAACTCGGCGGGTGGTGGGATTTAAACCCGCGGGTTCTGCTCGACCACAATCAGACACATGCTAGTCTACAGTCTACATCTCTTCGCCGATGCCAACAGTATGAAAAGAGGGAATCGTCCTCTACAGACGGTGGGGAGATTGTACGCTTCCTTTGTGGGATATCTCTACAGTCTACATCTCTTCGTCGATGCCAACAGTATGAAAAGAGAGAATCGTCCTCTGCAGACGGTGGCGAGATTGTACGCTTCCTTTGTGGGATCTCCATGTCCATCTCTGTAGCAAGCACGCAGAGTCGGCTAGATAATAAGATGGTCACCAAGCA